TTAGGTTATATAACAAGTACTCCTTAGTTTGGTTAAATATCTCTTTCTTAGTCATAAATTTGTGCCTTTTAAACCTTATTCTTGTCTTTTCTCACAAAATTTTGTATCGTGAGATTGATAATGACAACTGAACTTATAACATGACAGAATGTTTCGTCTGAGCTAATGCTCCATGTGTGTTTTTCAGCCATTCCCTATGTCTCTGTATGACATACTTGAGCAAAGTCTACCTTTCTACAACTTTCTTAGGCGCCATGTGAAGCAGACATCGTGCCTTCTTAAGTCTCGTTTGCCTGAACCCGATCTTCCAGTTCCAGAAAACGAGAAGCTACTTGCATGGGTTGGTGATGAGATTGTACCACGCGAGAGTGCAAAGGTACTTGTACATGGGTCACCTGATGATCTCCACTGGACAGAATCATCCCTCCAATCTTTTGTTTCAATGCTTAGCCATCTAAGGATATTTATTTCTATCCTGTAACCTGTCTAAGGTTTCTGTGTTCGATTCGGTTGTCCAAGGCGGTGATTCAGTCTGGGAGGGTCTTCGAGTTTACAACGGCAAGATATTTAAGCTTGATGAACATTTAGATAGGTAAGTAGAAGAAAGGTTACAGTTTCAACAAGATTGATGCTTGGTGACTATAGATTAGTTGGAAAACTTATGATTGAATATTCTGGTATAATATGTTGATGATACTTAATTTCCCTGGAAAGATTTGATCTGTAATCTTGAATCTTTGATAAACATGTTGATTTCAAGAAGACAGCGTATTGCTTGTCAAGAGAAAGTAAAAAGTATTTAAACAAAGATTATTTAGTTGTTTAATTCATTTATTAGCCTTTATTCTCCAAATTTGTCATTGCTAGAGATATTAGGAGTAGACCTTTTGTTACTGTCCTGTATGTTATGAAACTGCGATTTCTATAAACTCCTATAAAATTTATGAATTACCCAATTTCCTATTTTACTTTTATTATTTTATTAGCAGTCCCTAATGTAAACATTATTTTGATATCTACAGGTTATTTGACTCAGCAAAGGCTTTGGCATTCAACAATGTTCCTACTCGCGAAGGGGTAAGAGTTTTTCAATTCATTGTATTGGGTCTTATGTAAAGAGATCTTTTCTTCAGTAGCTTTTGCCTATAGTTCTGTATCTCATCATTGCAGGTTAAGGAAGCCATCTTTAGAACTCTTATTCGAAATGGAATGTTTGACAATTCACACATCCGATTAAGTCTGACGCGTGGGAAAAAGGTACTGCCCTGCCATGCTAAGTTTTAGATTGAAATTCTTTTGAGTGTAGTTGTTCAGTGCGGTCTTTATTCCTCTAGTAGTGATTAGTATCGTTCGTCTTCTTCAGGTTACTTCTGGCATGAGCCCAGCATTCAATCTTTATGGATGCACCTTAATTGGTAAAACAAAATTCTTAATCCTCTGCCCTGACATGCGAATGTTTATATTCTGTTTGAAATGCATGTTCTGAGGTTTCTGTTTAAAACAAAATTAGTATATTACAAACAGAAACCTATGTGGACACAGAAACCTAATTGTGCTGGATGTAATATACTAATTGCTTTATTGACTGCTTAACGCTCTAGTGAAACATTTGGTCTTTCTTATGCTGCACTTGCTATTTCTTTTAAACATGCAGTCCTTGCTGAATGGAAACCCCCTGTCTATGACAATACAAGTGGTATTACTCTTGTCACAGCTACCACTCGTCGTAATTCACCAAATGTAAGCTTTTGGGAGTAGTGGTAAACCAACAAACTTGATCAATTATTATGTATATTTAATGAAGAAAAATTATGAAATTATGAACAGTAAAATGCTGTAAAACCTAAATTAGTCAGTAGAGAGCAATCAGATTAATTCATATTCCGTTGTACCAGAAGGCGTGATTTGATTGATATTTTCTCCTATTTCAGTCCATTGACTTTTATTTTTGTTTTCCTTTTTTACTTTTATTTGTTTTCCTTTTGTTTTTACCAGAATTTGGATTCAAAGATTCACCACAATAACCTACTCAACAATATACTTGCAAAGGTTTGTTCTATTTTAAGTTAACTACTGGACGAGTTAATGGTCTGTTAGTGTGATATAATCTGTTTTCTTTTTTCAAGTCTTTGCTGAAAAAAGCACCCTTTAACCATAAAACTTTGTGCGGTCTATTTTGTACACAGGCCCATGTTAAATTTTTTATAATGCACATACTCATGTTGTGGAACTCTGCTAATAGTGCAGATAGAAGGCAATAATGCAAATGCCGCTGATGCAATCATGCTTGACAAGGATGGTTATGTGTCCGAAACAAATGCTACAAACATTGTAAGCCTGTGCTTTTGCTTGTTAGGTTTTAGTGCTGTATGAAAACTTGGTAGTTAGGTTCCATTTGTCAATTGTAGTTTTTCATTGTTCTTTTCCAAATTTCTATTGAGAAAGTGTCGAAATCCTTCATGTAAACTATCATGAATTGAATGTTAGATCGCTGGATCAACTTACAATCTGGCATAGGGACTATTACTATTGTAATGGACAGAAAATTTCGATCCCTCCTCCTGGAGTAATCAATGGCATATAAAATATTGATATTGTGTTATTGTGTCCTAGCAGTTACCTATGGGTAACATTTCCCTTGAAATCTTTTCATTAAAGGAAATCAGTTCCTTTCGGTCCATGTAACTTATATGACATCCACACTGGAAATAAACTCCTGTGTTTGATTTCGCAGTTTTTGGTGAAGAAAGGCCGTGTTTTGACACCTCATGCTGATTACTGCCTTCCTGGTGTGACTCGAGCAACTGTAAGTTGTGTAGATTTCCCTCCTATTATGGCAACTGTTATCAAACTTTATGAATTGAACTTACATTTGTGCAATGACTGGTGAAGAATACTTTGCACTTGGTCTTCCAGTGACTTACTTATTTTTCGAGATTTCAGGTTATGGACCTTGTGGTGAAGGAGGAGTTGGTCTTAGAGGAGAGAAGGATCAGCCTATCAGAGTTCCATACTGCAGATGAGGTTTTCTTACATAAATATATATAGATGGTCACATAATATGTATATATTTATGAACTCTTATTTCCACATGTTTATTTCCAACATGGTCTTCCTTCTATGGACAATAGGCTTACAACTATAATGGATGCCCTGCAGGTATGGACAACAGGAACAATGGGAGAACTCAGTCCGGTGAGTGCCTTATGGATATTGTAATCTCGGTTGCATACGACCTGCGTATACAATTTGGTTCATTTCTAAATCTTGTAAACGTTATAGCTTGTATTTGACAAAACACATTTGCTCAACAATTTAAATAATGGAATTCTTGCTAAGATGAACAACCATCTGCTACAGTTTGAAGTTTGATATGACTAATTATGAGAGGAGGTGTATAAAACCTGTTCAACCAGGTTGTAATTATGCCAGCTTCCGCTCATTGACGCTGTAATCTTTCCCTCTTCATAAGAACCAATACTTAGTCAATGGGATTTTGTTTTCCAGGTTGTGAAGATTGACGGCCGTCTAGTTGGAGATGGAAAAGTGGGACCTGTGACTCGAAGACTGCAGAATGCTTACAAGGAGCTGACAGAAGCATGGGGGGTGCCCATACCAACCTATCATGAAACCTGATAATTTGCTTCACAAGGTGAGAGTGTCTCACTTTTTGTTCAGCCATCAACTTTTATGACACTCAAAACAATGCGAACTTCAACAGTTCTTCTGAGTTGAAGATTAAGAAAACTTTTAGTGGTTATTTTGATCCAAAATTTATGCTTACTACTTTCATTTCTTCTTTGTTTGCACAACTTAACCACTAAATACGATCATGATTCATGAATGGCAGGTTGTAGCCAACTGGCAGTGGATGAGTGAATCTCATGGACCCATGATGCATAGGTGGAAGAGCTTCTCTCACAGATACGAATAAAAGTACCCAATGTTGTTGGTACAGATGTGTAGAGAGCGCCATTGATTTTGCATTTTTTATCTTTCCCATTTTAGGAAGGTCTCTTCGAAACTTTGCCAACTCTTTCTAATGACCCAAAATATCTTTCGGACTGGAATTGTGACATATTTACATGCAAGGAAGTTGCAAAACAGTAATTAAAGAAAAACAAAATTGTTCAAAAAAAGAAAAGAAAAATGCTTTCCACGCTGCATATGCATGAAACTAGTGCAGCTCATGCTTTGCAAACAAATTATGCAGAGCAGAACTTGCGTTACGAAATCTTCATTCATACATGGAAAAATATATGATCCTACTACACAACAACACAACCTAAATCACTTCTCTTTATCAAAAGGGTTTTGCTTTTCATGTTGTATCGTTGTGTATCCTTAATTAGTGGGTTAATTAAAAACTAAACACCATTATGAGTACTGGTGTTGCTTTTTAATCAGTGGAAGGTTTTAAAAGGAGTCGGCCAAGATGGATAGAGATCATACAGAAAGAATGAAGTGTGCATCTTTTATTCATTGAATTATAATACTCAATTTATTATTCATATTTCTTACCAAAATCTACAAAAGCTAGATATAAATTTTTTGGGGAGGACAAAATCATACATTCTTTAATCGGAACTCTTCTGGTGGCCTTTGTGCGCAATCCACACTTCATACACTTTTCTGCATTTGAACAATTTTATAGTACTTTAGGCTACCGCCACCACCACCACCATAACAAGCTCACACTAACCTGTCAATTTGAGATACAATTCGGAATTTTCCTTGGGAGGTATCGGGAAGGAATTGGAATATAATAATATCGATTAGATACATTTATACAGATACAGAAAAGAAAAAAAAAAGGTTTCTCTATATGCATGCAACCACTAGAGATTCAAGTGTTTGAGTCAAAAATGAAATATGGCATATTTTAGTTAACCATTAATTTTGATTAAGTAAAGCAAAAGCAGCCCTTGATTATGGTTAGTGCCTTCCATCAACATGTGCACTAAGTAAGTTAACCACTCCATAATTTTATATACCTTGTCTATAAATACCCCATAACAGGGCGTGTGTCCTCCACAAGCAATCAATATTCAAATCCCTTTGCTTCTTTTTCATACTAATTTGCTTCACTTAAAACTTCCTAAATGGCTGCCCAAGGAGCTCGTGAACAAGCTTCCACGAACCATATTGAGATTCCAGTTTATGGAAATGTTGCCGATCAGCCAAGACAACAATCCCAAAGGCCTGAAGATGAAGAAGAAGAGACTTTTGACTACTCCCAGAGGACACAATGGCTTCGGGCCGCTGTCTTGGGAGCCAACGATGGGCTGGTCTCGGTTGCATCACTGATGATGGGCGTGGGAGCTGTGAAGCAAGACGCGAAAGCCATGCTGCTTGCAGGGTTTGCAGGGCTGGTGGCCGGGGCGTGCAGCATGGCGATAGGCGAGTTTGTCTCTGTGTACACTCAGTACGACATAGAGGTGTCTCAAATGAAAAGAGATGAGATGAGAACGAATGGTGGTGCTACGGAGAATGCACAAGAGGCAAAGAAGAAGAAACTGCAGCTGCCAAATCCTGCACAGGCAGCTATGGCTTCAGCCATTGCATTTTCGACAGGTGCCGTGGTGCCTTTGCTGGGAGCTGCATTTATAAGTGAGCACAAGGTAAGGCTAGCCGTGGTGGTGGTCTTGGCAAGCGTGGCATTGGTTGTGTTCGGAGGAGTAGGAGCGAGGCTGGGAAGGACATCGGTAATGAAATCTTGTGCCAGAGTTCTCGTTGGAGGATGGATGGCTATGGCTATTACTTTCGGACTCACCAAGTTAATTGGGTCTAGAGGTCTGGAAATGTGATTAAATTTTATGCCTTTGTTGTCGTTGTGTTCTTGTATCTTGTTGTCATTTTCCCTTTTGATTGTTGCTGGTGGTGTGGTGGTACTGCAGCGAAGTTGTGTTCATCGAATAATGTTGGTGCCCTTATAATTAATCCACACAACTATATTTGGGTTGGTGCATGCGCTGATTGAGAGTCACTACACTATATGCATGACACACATCACGTGTTCGGCACATGACATGACATGTGATGGGTGCACAGCTATAGAAACGAGATGCATGCACCCAAGACATGCAAGTTTTTCTCCTAACATAGAGGACGGTTAGTTGTCGGCTCATGAATGTTCAGTTGCGAAATGCATATGCCACTTTCGAAACAGCACTTCCCTGCCTCATGATTCTAGACGCAATGAACACAAAAGAGTTCAAAATCCTAAACACCATCTCTCTCTCTCTCTCGCATACATACAAGACTCTAAATAACTAAAGAAATCGCTACCAACTCTTCAGACTAACCCGCAGTTAATTTCTTGTTTTGACGCCCAACAAACCAAACTTTCCTTCCCTAAAGACTGCAACCCAACAGTATTACAACACTTTCAAACATCCATACTTTTTACAGGAGAAGAAAACCATCGATAGTTTGCATCCATCCAATTGTACAAGAAACACAACCCTAAAAAACATCAGCACTTAGAAAGCCATTAACCAGAACCCATCTTCGTTAAGACAACCCTAATTATTTTGCAGGTAGCATTCCATGGCAGAAATATAAGAACGATAATGGATTTAAATTAACAAAAAAAATAGATGTACATAGAAAACCACATGCTAAGATACGTTATTAAGTGTAGAGTCGGTAATATTGCATCACTGAACGACCTTAGGAGAAAAAAAAAGCAGTTTGGAACAGGAACAAAGAAACAGATCATCCTCTTGTCTCAGCAAACAAACCACGGCCAGGAACAGAAAAACAAGGCAAGACCAACAACCTTCCCCCCATGTGCAATGTGATAAGGAGACCCAGAGGACAAAACAATGGAGCAGTTATTGAACTCATCAAGAGCTTCCAAACAACAACCTGCACATGTTTACGCAGAATGGAACTCTCCCACCAGTGCGCTGTGGAGAAGGTGAGGGGGCTTATGTTCGAGTTAAATTGCAGATGGCTTGTTCTGGCCGAAAAGACTTTCAAAATATTTACGTTTAAAACAATGCATGTCCAATTAGTAACACAAACCCAATCATGGGTCCAAAAAGAGACCAGATCCTGCCAAAAGGTTAAACATATCAATATAGCAGGAATGACAAAATAGGAGATATCATGTATCAAAGTAACTTATAAGAGGAAATATTACCCGCTTGACTCCCATTTATTAGTAAGATACCGAAAACAGGGCAGCCAAAATGGACATTCTACTTATAGGACCACTTCTACTTCCAAGTAACAAGAAGCAAACTCCCAATTGCGGACCCCTCACAATCTATTCTCCGAAATAACCAAACACCAAATGACCTTCCAATATCGCAATTGCCCATGCAAAACAGTCAACAGGAACCAAATGACCTTCCAATATTTCAATGTCCCAAGCAAAAGAGTGAACAGGAACAGACAGGAAGCATAGCATTTGCAGTCACCGATGCATGAAAGTCATAGACAACCACCAGTTGTAATGGAATTCACAGACTATAAGGCCAAATTGAAATATCATTTTCAAGCAAGCATAAAATTCCATCGGATCAAAACATTCGGTTGATCGTTTAGCAACAAAAAACAGGTGAATATCTATGCAAGATTCGCACTTCAAAATACTGGTCCAACTAAATTAATCCACCCAGACAATCATCACAAGAACACATCCAGCAAGAGGAAACTTCGATGCATTGCAGACAGTGATAGTCAGCCGAGCAGCTCCTCGGGTTCCTAGGCTGCAATTAGCACATCAACAAAACTTCCTTTAGTACAATACTAACTGTGAAAAACATGAAAGGAAAGAGTTGTGTTACATACCACTATCCGAAGCAATTGTCCTATCCAGAACGGAAACCTCCTCCTGTCCCCCGACGTTCATATGGCCCTGAGCGGTCACGACTGAATCGATCACTTCCAGAACTTGAACGACCACCAGAATCCCTGCTGCGCCCACTATATCGGTCTCCATTTCGATCAGGTCCACCCCCACCGCCACCATAACGACCGCTACCCCCACCCCCACCTCCACCACCATACTTATCATCCCTGCTACCATACCTGCCACCTCCCCTTGAAACTTCACTTGGGCACTCCCTAGCAAAATGTCCTGGCTTTCCACACTTAAAGCATTCTCCTCCTCCACCTGATCCACGTCCACCTCCAAAATCACGACCACGGTCACGGTCACGACCACGGTCACGACCGCGGTCACCGTCATAATCTCTACCTGAACCTTGGTGAGGCTGAGCTTTATCAACAGTAATAGTTCGTCCATCCAAATCCATTCCATTCATTTCTTCAATTGCCTCTTCCATTGCTTTTTTATCATCAAAAGTGACAAACCCAAATCCACGAGAGCGTCCAGAAAACTTATCAACAACTACCTATGTCATTTAAATTATTTTCACCATAAAATTCCATTGATGAGTATTAAGAATATCAAATAATATCATGTTGAACAAAGCATGAAAAATTAGCACCTGATTTCAATCAAACCAAATCAAGATCATATTTTCCCATATTATACACTATCAAAAGAAGTTATTCACGGCCATTGCCAATTTCCCTTCTGAATCCCAAACCCTCATGGGACACTATGGTCATCCAAACTAATTGATTCCGCCAAGCAGTATCATCCTCAGAAACAAAGACCAGATGCAATAATCAACAGAAAAAAAAAAGTTATAAACAAATGCTTGATGAAAATCAAACACATTTTGTTTAGACTGTATTCAAACATAAAGAAAACAAATCAATACCTTGGCTTCAACAAGCTTTCCAAACTTGTCAAATGCATCTTTTAGACTTCTATCAGATGTTGACCATGCGAGGCCACCAATAAAGCATCGATACTCCAGCTCTTCTGACATTTTTCTAAACTGAAAATTTACACAAAAGAGGGCATCAATCATGGAAGATAACAAAAAGAATCAGTAAAAACTATTCAAAACTAACAAGAATTCTTCCCAATACTGCATAATCTAGAGACAAGTAAACAGATCCGATGAGAGAGGAAAAAGGAGCTCCCCCCCACACCCAATTAACTCTCTTTACCGAGAAAAACTTCTTTGAACCCCACACCAAATTCACTATGTCCATATATTGTTGATACACAAATGCATGAAAATACACATGTACGAATATGTATATCCAATCCATAGACACACACACTAATACTGGAATTGAAGAAAACCCAATTAGGGTTTTGGGCATATGTATACAATTCTATACTAGAAGCATAAGAACAAAAGCATACACAGGCATACACTCATTGAAATTATCCAAAATTTCTTGGCCCTTCCTTTGTTTGAAAATTTACAGGCCCCATATAGTAGATCCTAATTAATTATCCATAGCACATAAGAAGCGAATCATCGAGATTTAAAACATACAAAATAACCATTTAAAAGAGGAAAAAATTGACAAATATACGCCAGAGAGCAGAGGCCAAAGGTAAAATTAAACTCATATAAATTAGAACAAACAAATCTGCCAAATTTCTAAGTGAATTCGAGAACAACAAAATCATAACCTAACAATATAAGCGCGAAAGGGATTGATTTTTCATACCAGCAAAGAGCGACGCAAGGATTTAGATCTCAAACGCGGAGAGAAACAGAGAGAGAGGCTGAGAGAGGCTTTGGGTTTTTGCTTCGGCTTCCAACACAAAACCTAAAGGGAGAGGGCTGTGGGTGTGGTGTAGGTTGGAAACCGGGTCAACGGGTTGTAGGGTTTCTTTTTTGCTTCCCGGACTCTGTGTCTTATTGGTCCACGTGTCCACTATGGTAAGATATTTTCTTGGTAATTTCTGCTATAGGATATTATCACCAAAAATAAAATAAAATAATTAAAATATGATAAAGCTTTGGATTTCCTTCCCCTCCATATTATTCGAGTAATTAGAATATCGATTTGTTAAAAATAAAAAATAAAAAATGTTTGAAAATGTGTTTATACCTGCGACATGCATTAGAGACTTGTACCCAAAAGTACAACATTAGATGGCGCAGAGGGTTTAGGGTTTTGCCCTCTTGTTTGTTTCTCTGAGTCGCAGGCAAAAGAGAAGTGAAAACCAAGGAAGAAGAAGAAGAAGAAGATGTGGTATCTGTGCGTGTTCTTCCACAGATTATTAGACTACAGGAAAGCCGAGGTCGAATCTTTAGCACAACTCTTTAGCAACGAAGATCAAGAATACCAGTGTTTGCAATGGAGGCTGCCACTGCACCACCACCCAGATTCCCCTTTCCATTTCGTCGATCTCCCTTCGGAAGATGTAGCCAAGAGTATTGCCAATCGAAGTCAGTACTTTTCCTTCATTTCCTCTTTCTCTCATCTGCATTTTTTGTTAACTGGCCCTGAATTTCTCGAATCTGTAATTTGCTCAAATCGAAACCACTGTAATCTCATATTCCCAATCATGGCCTGTCAGATTTTGTACTTCATTGATCCTCATTGAGCAGAGCATTTCACTAAAATTTGAGCTTTCAACTTGGTATATGGTAGGCATACTTGTGAAAGGAATGTATGAACTTTGGGGAGAAGGAGGTAGCTATGAGGAACTGGAAGAGTGTATAAGAAATTACCCCGATGAGCGGAAGTTGCCGTACCTAGACTCCAATAGTACTTTCAAGATTAATGTTGACACCTTTGGTAAAGTCATTAGCCTCCAGAAGCAAACCCAACGCATTCAGGGGCTTAGCTACATTCCTTTCAAGGTTAATTTCTTAATCTAACTTATGAACTTCGGTTTTCAGTTTGGGTTAGATTCTGCAAGGATATGCACTTGAAGTATTTGTACAAGTACAGAAATCTGCATTTTAGCTCCAGAAAATTGATTTCAAATTGTTCTTCATTGTCACTAATGATGGTGGTTGCTACTGATCAATATGTTGCAGGGTCGAGTTAACTTGAAAAATCCAGAACACAAGTTCTGGCTTATGGAAACTGATGATTATGGAGCTAGCAATGGTCTTCCACCAATGGTCCAAAAAAGAATCTTTTTCGGTCGGGAGATTGGTGGTGCTGATAGAAAACTTTTACCTACATATCAGTTGAAAAGCCGCACTTATCTTGGACCAACGGCCATGGATGCAGAAATGGCTTTCTTAATGGCAAACCAAGCTTTGGTCACACCAGGGAAGCTTGTCTACGATCCTTTTGTTGGCACTGGGAGCATTCTTATAGCTGCTGCCCATTTTGGAGCCATGACAATGGTTTACACTTCTTTCTCTGTAGTCCAATTCTGAATTTGTCACAATTGATACTTTTCCTTCATGTCAGGCATGCAGTTAACTATCTTTCTATATGGGCTGATCAAATTTTTCAGGGTGCAGATATTGATATCAGGGTGGTACGCGATGGCCGTGGCCCTGACTGTAATGTCTGGAGCAATTTCAAGCAGGTGAATATGCTTTATGAGATTGAGTTTTTGGTTTGAAAGGTGCAGTCTATGGAATCATTACTCAAATACTAAATGGCATCAGCAAGCACATGATAAGCTTATTATGATGAATATATCAAGACTTCTCCTTGGTATAAAGTTCTGACGGGGAAAGCTATTAATGATTTCTACTTATATGTTAGACCATTCATGATGGAGTGGAACGAGCTTTGAAGTTTCTGTATCTTGGAGAAAGTTCAAGTGCTTGTATTCATTTTTTCATACTTTTTTGCAGTATGGATTACCAATGCCGATTGCGTTGTTAAGGGCAGATAATAACCTTCCTCCTTGGCGTACTGGATTGAAAGAGGTACTCTTTCTCTCTCTTTCTCTATAAAATTATTTTATATATATTTTTGGTTCTTGTTGCATTGTGAACGCCATTTACTTCCTTAGATGGCATTATTTAAGTAG